GGCTAAGTAATCTGCTCGGGTTTGCTCTCGGGAGCTTTTGTTCCCTGCAAGCTCTCGGTACAGCTTTGGAGGAGGAGAGTGAAAATGGCGGCCTCCCAATCTCTGCCCTGGAGGAGCCAAGAACTCGGGCCCTGCTCCTCAGTGCGCCCCCAGAGAAAAGCAGTCACTCCTGTGTTCCCGGTCTCCGGCCGCACTCTGTGCTCACCCGGCCCGTGACCGAGCGTTTCTATCTCTGGTGCCCGGCCCTGTGTGGAGTCTCCAAACCCAGCAGATCCCTGCGGTGCGCTCCTGCGCCGCTCCTCCCAGGGGAGGAAGGGGAGTCTCCCCGGCTCGGCTCTGCCACTTGTTGGGTCCCTGCTGGAGGAGCAGTGGCCCGACTGGGCCGCGGATCATAGTTTATGGCAACCCCGAGCTGAGAGCCTGCGCCTCAGCTCCGTCTCTGCAGCTGGCTTCCCCGCTCCGATACCTGGGAGCTCTGCCACACTCAGGCACCCCCGGTCTTTCTGTGACCCCGAGGGTCCTGAGACCACACTGTCCCGCGAGGATTCCACCTCCTGCTTAGCCACTGGAGCGATGTCCCTCAGCGGAGCCGACTTCTAAAAGTTCCGATTTTGTGCACGGCTCTATCACTTGCCAGAAGCGGTCGACGGAGGCCCCCTCCCCCGCCGTCTGTCCTCCCGAATATCGCCTCCAATTCACTTCTCCGCACGTCCTACCTTCCAGAAAATGGTCGCTTTTCTGTTCAGAGAGTTGTTGCTACTCTTTTCTTTGATCTCCTGTTGAGTTTGTAGGTGTTCAGAATGGTTTGATCCGTATTCAGCTGAATTCCTGAGACCAGATGAAATCCAGGTCTCCTACTCCTCTGCCATCTTGCTCCGCCCTCAAGTCAGCTGACTTTGTAACTACTGTTATGTAGCCAAAGTGGATGATGTACCGGTAAAATGGCATAGTGAAAACATCTAAGAAATAAAGGCGAAAGCACTTGAGCTGAGTAGATATTTAAATGTCTACCAAGAATAAAACATGACGTTAAATATGTGGACATGTCAAACAGGAAAGAAAGAAAAAAGTTGGGTAGAAACAGTCTGTGCCCATAAAGAGCTTTTGTACAGCATAAGACATGCATGTTATTTGTGAGATCGGTGCAGGGCAAAGTGTAATAAGTGTTGTCATGGAAATTTCTGTAGGTTATGGGAAACTGAGGGGTGAGATAACCACTTTAACAGTTGTGGCTTTGTTCACATATCACTGAAAGGTCATTACTTGGTAGAGATTCGACCATTGATAAATAATGGCAGTTTGTGATGATAAATAGCAGACACAAAAGAAGATGCAATAATGTTTTTTCTTCTCAATTCAGGAGAGAACAGTGACAGTTGTCCAGTTTATCCAGTCATCACTGCAACGTTGTCCTTATCAGAGGTCACAGAAAGTTTCCATGAGCCTAGCCAAGAACTGAAGTTTTCCATGGAGCAAGGAAATACCAGGAACAGAGGAAATGCCCCCTCTTCCCAACCAGCTGATCTTCATGAAGAGCCAGTCAAAGGCAACAGCGGGTCTGAGGCCTGTACCAGTTCCTTTCCAAGATTGTCATTTGTTTCCGAAACCCCCCTAGAGAGGGACCCCCACTCTCCAGCTGACCAGCCTGAGCAGCAGGCAGAGTCTACCCTGACATCAGCTGAAACACGGGGAAACAAGAAAAAGAAGAAACTTAGGAAGAAGAAAACGCTTCGGGCTGCTCATGTTCCCGAGAACAGTGACACTGAACAGGATGTATTTACTGCTAAACCTGTAAGGAAAGTAAAGACTGGAAAGTCAACTAAAGGGGGGAAGGTAACAACCTCCACCTGGGAAGATAGCAGAACTGGCCCGGAGCAAGAGAGTGTCAGAGATGAGCCAGATAGTGACTCGTCTCTGGAAGTCCTAGAGATCCCTAACCCTCAGTTGGAAGTGGTAGCCATTGATTCTTCTGAATCTGGAGAAGAGAAACCAGACAGTCCATCTAAAAAGGATATTTGGAACTCCACAGAGCAAAACTCATTAGAAACTTCTCGTTCTGGTTGTGATGAAGTTAGCTCTACCAGTGAGATTGGCACTCGTTATAAAGATGGTATCCCTGTAAGGTGAGGATGTTGTGCTGGTCCGATCAGAACAGCTTTCACCATTATTCTTTTCTTAAAAAATAGAACTTGTGGTTATGAATCAATTTTTAAATGAATCAGATGTATAGAAATAGATTATGGGTATGGAGGAATCAAACCTTGGCAATGGAGATTTTTCTGCTTCCTCATTTGTGTTGTAAATATTTACTGTACTTCTATTTCCTTTCATATAGAAATTTCAGATGGAAAAACTGATCTATCACTGCTGTGTTGCCCATTGTTCAGAACAATCCTTTGAGTCAGGAAAAATAAGTTTTACGGCCTGTCCTATTCACAGGTGCTAAAAAGACTTTTGTTATTATTTTGTAGTGTGGCAGAAACTCAGACTGTGATCTCCTCCATAAAAGGCTCAAAGAACTCTTCAGGTATTGGTTATTCAGCTTCATTTAAATTAACCACAGAAAAAAGGCTTATAAATAGTAGAGCCAGGGTTTAAATAAGCCTATAGAATGGGGTGAGGTGGGGTGATTGTCACCGGGAGGATTGCTTTGACCAGCAATTATGGTATCTGTAAATCCTAAATCCTGCCTTTTAGTTTCTTATTCCCATCTGTCTTAGCTGTTCAACTAATGAGTATTAAGGTTTCATTGCCTCCTCGGGTTTTTGCTTTGAGAAGGAACTGCTTAAAGAATAATGCCTTATTCAACAGAAGAACTGGCAGCAGAAGAGAGGATGTGGAGAGCAATTTGGTACTTCCCAGGTTCACTCAAAAAATAAGTACCTTTTTTCCTACGTGGAAGCCTCCTCTGCCTTCTCTTGTTATAAAGTCTTCATAATGAAGATCATTAATGAAAGATGTGTTTTGCTAGGGGAACAAGGTTTTAAGGAGAATCCAGGGACCACTATATTATGTAATGGTTTTTAATTTTGAGTATCTTTTCAGACAAAAGCAGACAGGTCTCTGAAACATATTTTTGTTTTCCAGAAATATCTTCCGAGCCAGGAGATGATGATGAGCCCACAGAAGGGAGCTTTGAGGGGCACCAAGCCGCAGTGAATGCAATTCAGATATTTGGGAACTTACTGTACACCTGTTCAGCAGATAAAACTGTCCGAGCTTATAATCTGGTGGTGAGTTGATAACTCAATCAGAATGTTTTTGCAGGTTTTAGGAACTCCAGTTCACACTCTCTTAAACAATAGGGGAATCTATTTGCTGTCCAGAGATGAGGTGAGTTTTAGACTAACCGTAGATGAGGTTGATGGCGTGGTTTAGCAGGGTCATTGGGGACTTAGCTTCTTTCTGTCTCTCCATTCTGCTTTCTCTGGTGTCACCTCTTCCTAAAGCTAGTTCTTCTGCTCACAGACAGATTTTGGAAGCCCTTGGGGTTTTTTTTTTTCCTCCCATTGCTATAAAAATGGGTCCTGTGTTTGACTGTGAACAACCACTTGGCAGAGGGAGATGAGATGACAGCAGTAGGCTTGGCCAATCAGGTTCTAGTCCTGGCGTTGTTGATGAGGTCAGTCCCATAGCTGCTACGTAATAGGATAGAATGAATATCAGGGAAGTACTAGAGGAGGCATTTTTCCTCACAGTTCATTAATTGTCCCAAGTTATTAAGGAGAGCAACAGTGTTCTAGTTCCTCACACTTAGTATAATCTGATGCTCGTTAGTCTCAATTTTCATAGAACGAACTTTTCATAGAATGAGTTTTGAATTTGGTGTATGTCAAACTAATTTTGCTTATCAACAGTGATAGCCAAGAAACTTTAGGAACACTGTTGTCTGAACAAACACCATGAAAGTATTTGAAATTACTGAAGTCTTGAAAGTCAAAAGGTTAGATGATGGACCATGAAAATGTGTTCGCTCTAGGCAACAGGTGTCTAGGAAGGAAGCAGTGGTACCAGGAAGTAGGAGTGTAACATTTGGGGGATTGGCTCTAACTCTAAATTGCAAGATAAATGTATGCACATTCTAAGTGGATCTCCATATGTGCACGAAGATAACATTTAGGATGCTCCCTTATGAAACTGCCCCTGGACCACTACGGCCTGCGATGGCACATGACACATCTGTGAATATTGTGGAACATTCATACTTACTGATGAAATGCAGGAACTTATCTGGGAAATTAGCTACAGTTTGGATTTGTCAGATCTTTGGTCTTATGTTGGAGATCCTTGCCCTAGGCATTAATTAAAATTCTGATCTATCTTACAGCAGATTGCCCTATGTATTTTTGGTATGGCTCAGCTAACATAGAGTTGGAGATACTTAGTTCATGTGACTGTTGACTGGGCATTTAGTGAGCAGATACTTACTGAGCACCTTTTGTATACCAGGCACTAACTGAGGCACTAAGGATACAGCAGCAAACTGTATGTTTTAGCATTTTTGTTGTTGAGGAAATGTGTTATTTAATCCTTGTGTATCCACAAGTAATGATCTGATATGTGCTTAACTTTAGAGTCGGAAGTGCATTGGTGTCTTCGAGGGGCACACCTCCAAAGTGAACTGCCTCCTGGTTACACAAACCTCTGGGAAGAATGCTGCCCTTTACACTGGTTCCAGTGACCATACCATTCGCTGCTATAATGTTAAGGTAAGTGAGTCCAGAGAAATCAGAAGTGATCATATTAAGCTGCTTTGGCTGTATTTACTATGTAGAGTGGAGACACTGAGACAGATGCTTTATTCTGCCCACTTTATTATGCTTTGAGCCTATTTTAGTAGCATACCTCAAAGATACTGCAAGTTGGGTTCCAGACCATTGCAGTAAGGTGTGAACATCACAATAAAACTAGTCAAATGAATTTTTTGGTTTCCTAGTGAACATAAAAGTTAATGTTGATGCTATACACTATTCTGTTAGGTGTGCAATGGCATTGTATCTAAAAAAAACAATGTATGTACCTTAATTAAGAAATACTTTTTTCTCTCCTCCACAGAGAGGGGAAAAAAGGAAGAAAAAAAAAAGAGAAAGAATACTTTATTGCTAATCAAATGCTAGCCATCATCTGAGTTGTCAGCAAGCTGTAGTCTTTTTGCTGGTGGAAGGTCCTGCCTCAGTGTTGATGGCCGCTGACTGATGTGGGGGTGGTTGTGAGGGCTGGGATGGCTGTGGCAATTTCTTAAAATAAGACCACAGTGAAGTGTGCCTCCATGATCAACTCCTCCTTTCATGAACCATTTCTCTGTAGTGTGCAGTGCCATTTGATAGTATTTTACCCCCAGTAGAACTTCTTTCAAAACTGGAGTCCACCCTCTCAAACCTTGCTGCTGCTTTATCAACTAAGTTTATGGAATATTCTGAAAACCTTGTTGTCATTTCAACAGTCTTCACAGCATCTTCACCAGTAGATTCCATCTCAAGAAACCACTTTCTTTGCTCATCCATAAGAAGTAACTCATCATCCAGTACAGTTTTATCCTGAGATTGCAGCAAGTCAGTCACGTCTTCAGACCCCACTTCTCATTCTAGTTCTCTTGCTATTCCCACCACATCTGCAGTCGCTTCCTCCAATGAAGTCTTAGACCCCTCAAAGTCACCCTTGAGGGCTGGAATCAGCTTCTTCTAAACCCCCTTTTACATTGATATTTTGACTTCTTCCCTTAATGGCATCTTTAGAATGGCGAATCCTTTCCAGAAAGTTTGCAATTTACTTTGCTGAGATCCATCAGAGGAATCACTGTCTACAGCAGCTATAGTCTTGTGAAATGTATTTCTTAAAAAATAAGACTTGGAAGTCGAAATGACTCCTCGATTCATGGGCTGCAGATGGATGTTTGTTAGCAAGTATGAAAACAACATTAATCTTGTACATCTCTGTTAGATTTCTTGGGTGACTAGGTACTTGTCAACGAGCATTCATATTTTAAAAGGAATCTTTTTTTTCTTTTTTATTACAGTATATATCTGATTCCCCTATAAAAACTACAAGAAGCTCTCACATGGCTTAACCAGAGGCAACATGAATTTTAACATTTGGGCATATTTACTGTCTTTTTATTTCACAATTTTATACATGGCATTTATATTTGTAATTTTATGGGAGAGAATTGACTAATTTCGGGGACTGACTCTTTATAGAAGAAGGTTGGGGAAAGAGGTCAAAAGCTTTGACAGCCTACAGCTTTTATCATCCTACCCACAGCTTGTCTCATTCTGTCCAGTTTTAACCATCTTGATTTTAGCATGTTTCCAATCCTGTTTAAAAGTTACACTTTGGGCCTCTAGTTGCTTAGTATCATTCATTAACAAATCTTGAGAGCTCGCTATCTTACTGGAAACAGGGCCAGGTTACCTAGGTAACTAGAATTGCTAGTATAACCCAGTTCTGGAAATTCATGGAAATCATTTCTTGAAGGTGAGATCAAATAGTACTTATTTAACCTGGATATGCATTAGAATTACTAAAGAAATTTTTTAAATGTATATTCCAGAGCCTACTGAATTACAGTCTCAGGGATTGAGAATGAAGCTTGGGGTTGTATATAAATTTTTTTTTTTTTAAGATTTTTTACTTATTTGACTGAGAGAGACACAACGAGAGAGGGAAGACAAGCAGGGGGAATGGGAGAGGAGGGAGAAGCAGGCTTCCCGCTGAGCAGGGAGCCCGATGCGGAGCTGGAGCCCAGGACGCCGGGATCATGACCTGAGCCGAAGGCAGATGCTTAACAGCTGAGCCACCCAGGCGCCCCAAGGGGTTCTATATATTTTAAAAGCTTCTCAGCTAATTATGGATCAGCCAACCAAGCACTGGTTTGAAGGAGGCATTTGGGAACTATTGAAATAGAGAATCAATTACAGGAAAGCACATACATGATTAATGCAAGTATCAAATATACAACTGTAACCTTTATTTTCCTTTTTAGATGTCAAATGCAGCTTTACCTTTGGCTACTTAATTTAAAATTTTAAGGCCCAATTCTTAGTGCCCTTCAAAGAATTTCTGCATTCCAAATTAGGAACACGAGTGACATTATTAGAGTTGATATTTATTTAGAGCTTGAGGATCTTTGGCCAAATCTATGATAGTCTTCTACAAGATAGAGGATGCTACATTTTCTTCCTCATAGAAATCATTTCACACTCTGCTTTAAGAAGGATTGATTTCACATTTTATTTGCTGTTAACCTCTGCTGATGAGGTGTTGTGTACTTTTGTCAGACGCGAGAGTGTGTGGAGCAGTTGCAGCTGGAAGACCGGGTTCTCTGCCTCCATAGTCGATGGCGAATCCTCTATGCAGGACTGGCAAATGGCACTGTGGTCACCTTCAACATAAAGGTTAGTGTGTGGGGAAGAAGGCTGCATTCCCATGTCACTTGAAAGTAGCATGTGTGTGGGAAGAAGTAGAAGGCAGACATTTTCCTGTTTTCTTATGTGAGAAAACAACAGAATGAGCTGCTACTGAAAAACTGTTATCTTCTGGTATAAGTGAAACAAGATCCTTCATTCTGTCTGCTCAGGCCCAAGTGTGCCAGGACCAAAAGGTAACTCTACTAAATTAAACCAAGCCTGATGATTTGGGGCCAAATAATGAGTCATAGGTTGAACTAATCTATCTCATTTTAAGAATGACACCATGAAAAATGAGCTTAAATTCTTTTGAGTATGACATTGATGTGGTCTGGAACTGATTTAGGGTTTCATGAGGATAGCCCATTCTGTAATGTGAACCCAGTCATAGGTTTGCCTTTTGTTCCTATGGCTTCATTCTTTCCTAATCCAAAGATAAATTCATTTGTTGAGCAAACCTTTACTGAGCATCTGTTATGTGCTAAGTCTCAGGATAAAGCTTAGGAAATGAGGAAGGACCAGTTCTTGATGGCCCTATATGCTTTGTTTATGTAGGTGGACTTCCATCACGTGGGCTTTAAAGTAGGAGAAACATGATCCAATTTGTATTTTAGAAAAAGTCATTCTGGAGTTGATGATAGGAAAATACTGGTACTAGTAGAGGCAGGAAGATCATTTAGGAGGCTTTGTTGTAGAAGATGAAGTAGAAAGGTCAGACTAAGGATGAAGAGAAGAGAATGGATAAAAGATGTAAGAGGTAGCGTTGATGGATTTGGTTACTAATGAGTTGTAGCATCATATCCCAAGGTCATCTGGTCATCTTTTTTTTTTTTCTGAGTGAGAGAATGTGAGTGTGCCGGTGTGGGGGCTGGGAGTGAAGAGCAGGAGAGGGAGACAGAAAATCTTAAGCAGGCTCCACACATGGAGCCCAACATGGGGCTCGATCTCATGACCCTGAGATCATGACCTGAGCCGAAATCAGGAGTCGGATGCCTAACCAACTGTGCCACCCAGGCACTTCATGGTCATCTTTTAACAGTATGTTACAATGTTTCCTGTGTTGGGGTGCCTGGGTGGCTCAGTTTTCGGCATCTGCCTTCGGCTCAGGTCATGATCCCAGGGTCCCGGGATCGAGCACGGCGTCAGGCTCTCTGCTCCGCGGGAAGCCTGCTTCTCCCTCTCCATCTCCCACTCCCCCTGCTTGTGTTCCCTCTCTTGCTGTGTGTCTCTCTCTGTCAAATAAATAAATAAAATCTTTAAAAAAAAAAAGTTTACTGCGTTATGCCCAATTATAGTATCATTCATATGTTTAGCGAATACCTACCAGCTCTCCTTCCACATGTGAGCTGGAACCACTGCTTATAAGGGATACAATAAAATATGTCATGGCTTTTGCCTTTCGGAAGCTTAGAATCAAGTTAGAAGAATCTAGCACATAGATAATCAAGTGCCAAGTTATTTGGTTCACTTGATAGGAATAGATCACAGATGGGTCATTAGTGGAAGTTGTTGCATTCCATATGTGAAGTGTTAACAGCCGACGTTAGATTCAGTTAGGGCAATAGAGATGAAGAAGAAAGAATAAGTTTAAAATATTTTAAAGGATAAAATTTGATAATTGCCTAATTCTCTTTCTGAAGAGTAATGCTATCAAAGGTGGACAGACGTTAGGAACAGGACTCCTGAGGCAGGATGAGGGCAAGAAATTCAAATGGAAATGGTCTTTAACTGGTTGACAAGCCACAGAGAAGATGGATCTTGACACAGAGATTTGAGAATCTCTGCAGACATGGGAATTTTGAAGCCTTGTGAGGGCTGGGCCCTTTTTGGATTGCCCATACACCTAGAATGCAGTGCTTCTGAGGTCTCAACAGAAAGCCAGGGTTATTTCTCTGTGCTGTCCACCAGTGGACCCTGAGCTCCATCAGGCTGTCTCCCCAGCGCCCTGGAGGCTCCCAGCTGCTGGGAGCTTAGTGCTTAGTTTCTGGGAGTTTCACCACTTGTGTGCACCTGAAGTTCCTATCTATTTATTTATTAAAGTAATCTCTGCACCCAATTTATTTATTTATTTATTTATTTATTTACTAAAGTAATCTCTACACCCAATGCAGCGCTTGAACTCATGACCCCAAGATCAAGAGTAGCATGCTCCACCTCCTGAAACAGCCAGGCAACCCCCCCTAAAGTTCCTTTTTAGAAGTTTTGAGGAAGGGGGAGACTTTATGAACAAGATTGGTGTGGGGATGAGGGAAGCAAGATTTGAGGTAAAGGAGTGTTTGGGAATTCAGGATGTGACCATGCCGCTCTGATACAAAAGGCTTCTCTAGTTCACTAAATGATGTCATGAGAGAGAACATAGAACGAGAAATCAGAAGAACTTGAGAATAACAGAAAGGTGGAGAATGAGAGACTCTTACCGAAATTATCTAAATAAGTAATTCTCAGTGGAGAAATTTGGAAACACATGACTGATTGCATAATTTTTGATGACAAAAAAATCAGGGAATGAGTTTCTGGGTCTATGGCATTGAAATTGTATTAGAATATGAAAAAAAAAGTTGATCATTATCATTAACTTCGGGGAAGTGAGCAAAGGCATAAAAAGAGAATCAAGTGCTAATTATGATCAGGTAGTGTAGTTTGAAGTTAGAAATGTGTTTATAATGCACCAGTTTGCCGTGCCCCCACTGGAAGGGGGGAGGAGGGAGTCATGAGTTGGAATGGGAATGGCAGAGGTTGGGAAGTTAAAGATGGGTGGGGTATGACAACTTAAGTACAGGTAATAGAATTTAAGAGTTTGTATTCAGGTAGTGATTTGGGTTAGTTGATTTTGACATTTACCACCTAAGTTGCTTTTACTTCATATGATGGTGGCTTATTTTTCAGAACAATAAACGACTTGAAATCTTTGAATGCCACGGCCCTCGGGCTGTCAGCTGTCTTGCCACAGCACAGGAGGGTGCCCGAAAGCTGCTCGTTGTTGGGTCTTATGACTGCACCATTAGTGTTCGTGATGCACGGAATGGACTCCTCCTCAGAACTCTGGAGGGCCACAGCAAAACCATTCTTTGCATGAAGGCAAGTACAGTGCAAGAGAAGAGGAGTTGGTTGTCTGGCACAAATAGAAGGGTTTGAGTGGCATTTCCCTTATTGTCTAATGCCTTATTTAGAACACATCATCTTGAAAAGAGCAAAGAGATTACAGTGCTTTTCTTTAGGTTTGGGTCACCAAGGGATGGACTATATTTTACTATATTAACAGAGAAACAGGTGTGTTTTATCATAGAATGTAGATATATTTAAAGCCCTTCTTGGCTATTTTGCTGTCATTCTGAAGAGACAGCAAACCCAAAAATACATTGTCAGTTCCTCACAGTACCTGGTGGTAGGACGGAAGTTTCACTTTAGAAAATTTGTCTGAGGAACTTATTATTTTATTCCTAGTTCATGCTCATGTCAAAGTAGGTTAGAAATTAGAATTCAACAATGTGCTTTACAAGTTACAGAGAAAATTCAGAACCTTATACCAAATCTAACTCAGTGAATTTTTTTCAAGGTGGTGAATGACCTTGTGTTCAGTGGCTCCAGCGATCAGTCAGTCCACGCCCATAACATTCATGTAAGTTGTGTTGATGTAAAGAAATCTTTAATGGAATGATGGTTAAAGGTTGAAGGATTCCTCAGACCTCTTGCAATTTAAATGAAACCCCTTTTCCAGGGAAAAGCTTAATAATAATCTCTACCTGCATAAGCTCTTGGAAGATAGTGAGCACTATCTGACCTCATCAAAATTTTTAATGGGGGACAGATTCAGAGTTTATGTAAGGTTTAGTTTGTCTCATTTAAACTTGAGATAAATTGAGCATCTGAGGCTCTAAGAAAGTGGATATGTTATGTAGTTTAAAATAGAACAAATAAAAACAGCTGAGAGACTCTGCTCAGGTCATAGAGACAGCTCTGTGAAGCTCAGTGCCTGGGCTTTAAACCTGAGGATAATGCAACCTCAGGGACTTGTCCAGATGCAATAAAATGATTAAAAGTGGAAATACTTCAAAACCTATAAAATACATACAGATAGAGTTGTGGGCCTTCTCTTTCTATGACACCAGCTTCTCTCCATCAGGATACATTTCATATATCTTGTATTACCTATATTGTAGTAAATGCTTGTGTGAGTACTTCATCTGTTAAAATTAGTTCAGCTACATTATGTACAAGTAGCTTCAGAACGATGACTTTTGGAATAATCGAATCATAAATCTCAAAAGTCAGAAGGAATCTTGAGAGTCAGTCTAGTGACTTGTTTCTTTTTGGATGCAGACTGGTGAGCTTGTGCGGATCTATAAAGGTCACAATCATGCAGTGACTGTGGTGAATATCCTAGGAAAAGTGATGGTGACCGCTTGCCTGGATAAATTTGTTCGTGTCTATGAATTACAGGTAGAATTTAGATCCACTGTTTTGCTTGAACAATTTGGGGAGAAGGTCTGTTTGAGTTTGGTATTAATCTTTTTTTTTTTAATATAGTAAGATGGGGTGGGGCCCAGAAATCTGCATTTTTCACAAGCCCTCTAGATAATTATGAAGCAGATGGTCCGTGGACTACACTTTGAGAAACATGGCTCTGAGGTTCCTGGTGAGGCTCACAGAGGTCAATACCGGATGGTTTCCAGACTGCAGCTGTAGTCTCTAAAGCCTGTCTAATGCTCCTTGTGTGCCATTTCAGGTTTGAGACTTTGACACTACACAGAAATTAGTTTTCTCATTTCCAATTACCAACTCCTCCCTTGCGGACTTACTAGAAAGATTGTGTTTCTATGAAAATGCTACTGTGCCTCAGCGTGTAGTGCCTTAGGGATGGTTTTAAACCTGCCAGAGGCCTCCAGGGATTAGGCTTATTAAACACAGGGTATAAATAACCTTAATTCTCTCTCTGTTTTTTTTCTCCACCTAAGTCCCATGATCGACTGCAAGTTTATGGAGGACACAAAGACATGATTATGTGTATGACCATCCATAAAAGTATGGTGAGTGTTATTAGCCATGTCACATACTGCTTTTGAATGTGTTTACTAAAAACTACAAACATAATAATGTTCCTGTTTATCACTTCCAAAGATGACATCTGTTTCTGACATGCCTCATTATTGAATGCTTTTCTGTCTTGGCATAATATCACTGAGAAGTAACCCAGTGACATTGTTGAATATTCTCTTTGCTATTAATAAGCTAAAATAATTACAATAAAAATCTGATACCACCATTAAACAGAAAATAAGTTTTAAGATGTTTCCCCTAAAAATTTAGTGGTGCTTTTTCCGGAGACATTACGATCCAAACAGAACATTGGAGTAGAGTCTGGAGATTTGGCCAGTACGGCATAGCGAAAGCAGACCTAAAAGTAGAAGCTAACTCACTCAACCCCGCTAAGCCTTGATTTATTTTATTTTTAAATTATGTGGTTGAACCAGAGTGGATGTTTTCTAGATTCTGAGCAGTAGAACCCCTTGTTGCAACGAGAGGCAGATGGCTACTGTGTGGCGCACGGTGTAGCACACAGTGCTCAGGAGCCTGGGTGCACAGCTTACAGTGTGGGCGGGTGCCTCCCAGCCCGAGCCCTGCTACTGCTCTCAGCCGGTGTCTCAGGAGTGGCTGTCTAAGGAGCATAGCTTCAACGTAGCCCCACCAGAAATACTTACCCATGGTAGGACGTGCGGCTGGCTTTGCTGTAGGTTTGTGTTTTCTTACAGCCGGCACAAGGAGCTTCTGACATGTATTTTGAGGAAGTTTAGTAGTTGTTTTTTTGTGTGTTGTTTTGGTCTGATATGAGAAACCTCTTTTTCCAGATTTATACTGGCTGTTACGATGGCAGTATTCAAGCTGTGAGGCTGAATCTGATGCAGAATTACCGTTGTTGGGTAAGGAGTGCTTACCCCTAGGCTAATTTATAGATCTTCATTAGCATCAATTAAGCATTTTTATATTTGAGCATCTACTTTATGCCTCCCACTGTAAGACAAGGAAGCTTATTTTTATTGTTTTATTTTTTTTTTAAGATTTATCTTAGAGGGTGGGGAGAGAGAGTGAGCATGAGTGGGAGGGGGAGAGGGAGAGAGAATCTTAAGCAGACTCAGCACTGAGCATGGAGCCTGACGTGGGGCTTGATCTCACAACCCTGAGATCACAACCTGAGCTGAAACCAAGAGTCGGATGCTTAACCAACTGCACCACCCAGATGCCCCAAGGAAGCTTATTTTTAAAAGCTAACAATAAAATGCTTCCATACTTCTTTCATGAATAGTCTAAGATTAGATAGGAGGTATATCTATATATCATCCACTCAGAGGTCATCTCTATGGTGGTTTTTGTTTGTTTTATTATAAATCAGTACATGCTTACAAAAATATCAACAATACAGAAGTACAGTTGACCCTTAAACAGTGCAGGGATAAGGAGCATCAGACCCTGTACAGTTGAAAATCCGCATATAACTTTTGACTCCCCAAAAGCTTACCTACTAATAGCCTACTCTTGATCTGAAGCCTTACTGACAACATAAACAGTCAATTTACACATATTTTGTATGTTATATGTGTTATATACTGTAGCCTCACAATATGGTGAGCTAAAGAAAAGAAAATGTTACTAAAATCTAAGAAGCACCGCCTGGCTGGTTCAGTTGGTGGAACGTGTGACCTGATCTCAGGGTCCTGAGTTTGAGTCCCATGCTGGGCATGGAGCCTACTTAAATAAGTAAATAAAATAAAATCATAAGGAAACAAAGATACATTTACAGTACTGTACTATATTTATTGAAAAAAGTTCATGTATAAGTGGACCCCATGCATTTTGAAACCGTGTTGTTCAGGGGTCAACTGTATGTGAAATAAAAAGTGGAAGTGCTTATTTTTGTGACCTCCTCACTATCTGATACTCATTCCTCAGGGATTTCACATATTCATAGTTTGGTTTGTGTCCTCATTGGATTTTGAGGCAAATAAATTAGATTTGTGTCCTCATTGGATTATAGGCAAATAAAAATGTGTATTCTTGAAGGTTTTAAACGTATGTTGCCTAGGCCAAATTGCATGGTTTTTATTTTGGGGTGGGAGCTCCACACTTTTACACTATTCCGTATAGGCCTTAAGTTGTTTCATCGGTTCTAATATTAGTGGTGATCAGAGAAAAGTTTCTGGCACTGATCTTCCACTCCCCACTCCGCCCCGGCCCCCATACCCTAACATGTTGTTTTGCAGAAATAATGGAATGGAATTAAAATACTCTCCATTTTTAGATTTGATTTAGACTTGTCTACAGCCTGGTTACTTTGCAGCTTTTTACACATTACTGTGTTTGCTTTTTGGTTTTCTCAGTGAAGGACATAAAATATAGTACAACAGAATCTAGAATACAAATAGAGGGTTAATTTTTCTAGAGAAATGGAGAAAATACCTTCTGGTTTTAAAGTTGGAAGGGATGGAATAGTGCTACAGGAAAAACTCAAATTTGCATTATTTCATAGAGATGAACCTGTTAGAATTTTAAGATTTTTTTTTTTTAAAGATTTTATTCATTAGAGAGAGAAAGACAGCGAGAGAGGAAACACAAGCAGGGGGAGTGGGAGAGGGAGAAGCAGGCTTCCCGCGGAGCAGGGAGCCCGATGCGGGGCTCGATCCCAGGAACCTGGGATCACGACCTGAGCCAAAGGCAGACGCTTAACGACTGAGCCACCCAGGCGCCCCAGAATTTTAAGATTTAAAACAAGCAAGCTGGAGGGGGAAAAAACCAAGACAAAGAGTCTTCATGCTTTCTGACTAACGAGTGAAATTGAGAGCTGAGCCACATTTTTAGTAAAGTAGGAATTAAAAAAAAAAAAAAAGAGGGGCACCTGGGTGGCTCTGTTGGTTAAGCATCCAACTCTTGGTTTCAGCTCAGGTCATGTTGTCAAGGTTGTGAGATTGAGCCCCGAGTTGGGTACCATGCTCAGTGGGGAGTCTGCTTGAGATTCTCTCCCTCTGCCTTTCCTTCTCCCTACTTGCATGCATGCTAAATACATACATACATACATACATACCTAAAATCTTGAAAAAAAGATTGCAATTCAAGTGATAAAGATTCTTAGTAAATTCAGGTTTCCAAGGCATAGTTTTCTTTGTCAGACATTTTTATTTTCTCAAGTTTATGAGTCAGCAGTTCTCAGAATTGTGAAATACAGCCCCTTCAGTATTAGAGAGAGCTCTTAGCCTTTTTTTTTTTTTTTAGAGATTTCATTTATTAGCAAGCAGGGGGAGAGGCGGGGGAGGGGGGAGAGAGAATCTCAAGCAGACTCCCTGCTGAACATGGAGCACGACTCAGGGCTCGATCTCACGACCCTGAAATCATGACCTGAGCTGAAATCAAGAGTCAGATGCTTAACTGACTGAGCCACCCAGCACCCCGCCTTTTTTAAATAAATGGACTAAGGAATTCATTTTATGATGGCAAGACAAAAAATAAATGTGGCTTAAACTGAATTTTATGGTAACTTGCCTGTCAATATTTGCTAACCTTTTCGTCTAACAATGTGGCTGTCTGGGTGCTTTTGCCTTCTCAATAGAGCAGAGTGTCAAGACTTTCCAGTCTTTTCAAGGCTCCTCAGAATATTGGTAATTAATGTGGATGCCTCTGGCTTTGTTATATTTTCTGGCCAAGAATAAAGAATAAGGGGCTTGCTTTTGCTTCCACAGTACTTAAAAGATACAAGTGAGGACTGCGCTAATTGCGATTGCATGTTTCCTGTACTGTTTTTCCCTTACCCTTTCATTGTCTTTCTCCTCAGTGGCATGGTTGCGCTCTGATATTTGGCATTGTAGATCATTTGAAACAACATTTGCTCACTGACCATACAAATCCAAACTTTCAAACTCTGAAATGTCGCTGGAAGAACTGTGACGCTTTCTTCACTGCTAGGAAAGGATCCAAACAGGTACATGAGTGGGACCTGAGGCCAACCTGGGGTCATTCAACGGCTCAGAGCAGGCAGACCTTTTTTGCCTTAATTAGAATGTTCAGAATTGCAATAAACAGGGAGGGGCTAGGGATTTTCGTTTTTATTATTATTCATAGATTTGGGGAATAGCTTAATGAGGTTTCAAATGATGAAATAGGTAGTTTTTGAGAAAGAGCCTAAAGAGAATGTTTTCTTTTTTAATATTTTTTAAAGATTTTATTTATTTATTTGACAGAGAGAGAACACAAGCAGGGGGAGCGGCAGGCAGAGGGAGAAGTAGGCTTCCCACTGAGCAGGGAGCCCGATGCGGGGCTTGATCCCAGGACGCTAGGATCATGACCTGAGCGGAAGGCAGTCGCTTATCCGACTGAGCCACCCAGGCGCCCCAAGAGAATGTTTTCAAATGTTTCAAATCCAGTAACTGGACCTAGAGGATTATTACTGTGTTCTTGTGTAAAGTGCTGGGTCCTAATCACCTTCCATGTATGGATCTTAGAATGTACCCATGAAGCTCTCCTTGGCTTGGATTTTTTCTTGTCTTACTAGCAACTTTTCTCTCACAGGCCCCTTTCCCTTTATTCCTAGGACGCTGCAGGACACATTGAACGACATGCTGAGGATGACAGCAAAATTGATTCATGAAGTTTTTTGCCTCCCATGTTGGGAAGTTATCATTTGAACTAATTTTACATCGGCCCTTCACAGAGGCCACAGTCTTCCCTTCCCCAGAGAATCAGGGAAGGAGAAAGTGGTTACTAGCCAGGCTTACCACTAGTATAAGTCTGGGCAGCTCTATGGGATGATAGTTACACATTAAGTTCTTACTGGAGGTTTGTCAGATTGAAACAGATTTTAAGGAACTATACTTCTCTGGAACAGCATGGAACGTAGTAATCTGTGCTACTAGTATTCTCCAGATGTTGATTAAAGATACAGATCTTAATTGGCTACCCAGTCTGACCCTAATCATATGTATTTTTTAGTTTATGTTCTTATGATGGTTTAAACCTGTAGTCCGGCTTTTAAGTACAAGTTTGTGCAAATGCTAGATTTTTAGGATCACTTTTAATTTCTTTAGTTCTAATAACTGGGTATTTAAATTAGAAGCAACTAGTTCCCTTTCTTAACAATTACGTGCAGTGTGTTTCACTATTCTCTTGCTTTGTAGGTGGACAGAGCTGGCTTTAAATGCCAAAGGGACACACAGTAGATTTTCAACAGCTAGAGTGATTGCTCTGCTGGTTATATTTTAGGAACTCAGCAAATCACATAATGACAAGTCCTCACAGACAGCACTTCCTATCGAACGTCTGTGCACATTTTGTTGGGAGTGCTCAGTTCAAGACAGTGCACAGACCTAACATCTACCTTGCAATGTTGCTGTTAGGCCCAGGTGCTCACGCTGCAGGTATTATCAGGCCTTTCGAACTGGAATGTAGCCTTTATCTTCCTTTCCAGTGTCTGACTCTCCAGGCCTGCTGCTGTGTGAAACCTCTTAGTTTGCTCCATTGCCAAACCCTCTCTCCCCTGCTCTCTGGCTGTGCCTAGACTCTTGGCGGCCATCACATACTTCCTGTAGGCTCCCAGGGTGCTTTCCCCCCACCTGCAGCACCCAAGATGGGGGAGTTAGGATAAAGCATCTGCATACAGTCTTTAGGGGCTCAAGCAGGCTTCTTAGAGACTGATTTCTGAAACTGGAATCTTGCCTTCACCTCCCCTCTTGATGGCAAAGAAGAGTGGAGTATGATGAAGGGAAAGACTCCACTTTTCCACTGAGAGCAGCCAAATTAACAAAGCCTAGTGAGACTGCTTTGTTTTTTTGGAATTTCTCTGGACTCTTGAGAGAATCTATAGAAGTGTTGCTTTCCAGCCTTTTGTTTCTGGATTCTCAAGACTCTGAAAGGTTCTTCAGAGAGCTAGAAGAAGGGAGAAGAGCCCAGTGCCACATACCAGACTTGGGGATGTGATGCATACTGTTTTCTGGGATTGCATAGCACGCAGGTTTCTCTCCACCCCTGTTCGTGTGCACACATCTACTTGCAGGTCTTCACTCCAGCTCTAGGGCTGGGGACTTCACTGGGCTTCATGGATGGATTTCAGGAGGGTATGAAATTGGGTGCAAGACTAGGGATGTGTTCTTTCTTTTTTTTTTTTTTCCAGGAAAGTCTCCTGAAAAAAAGGAGCTACTACCAAATAATGGCCCCATGAACTATTTACTTCTATCCTTATGAACGGGAAAACTTTTTTTTTTTTTTGACCACACTATTGATAGTTGCATGATACTTGAGAGAGAACAGAGAAGATTCTCTTGTATAAAATGTCTTTGTGCTCTTTCTGTCTGAGATGAAGAAGCTTTCTTACCTCTCCCCCCCATGTCTTGTAAGGATGACCAGAGCAGTCAGGCTGTTGTATGGGTTTGAGAAGGGCGATTTCCCAGGAAAGCATATTGGAATTTATTACTAAACCTGGCATTTTATTCGGGGTAGTAGTGAAGCTGCATTTCCATGTTGACTGGGCAGTGTGCTAAGAAAGCCTTGCGCGCTCTGTTGCATAGGTGCCCTTCTGTCCTGCCTGAGGACATGTCTGAAAAGATGAGAGTGCTGGAGCCATTGTGCAGCAGGAACGGGTTATGTGAGGTGTTGGGCAATCATGGGGAACCTTTGAAGGTATGAACAGACTGATATAATCAAGTAACAACCGATTCGGGTTTAATTTTGGTAGAATTGTGCACTATCTGCCTTTGTGTGTGCAGCTGTGAATGTTTCTTGTACGTGTGTATGGGTGTGGGCACCTATACTTGTAATACTTTTCCTCATTTCACAAACGTTTTTTTTTTTTGAAACCCTGGTAATAACATCTTTGTTTCAAGAATTTGTAGAATTATTTTAACCCCAGGTTAGTGTGTTATCCTAAATGCACTGTTCTAGCTGTCGATTTAGAAATAAAGGCACCATAAGCATCTTGGCTGCTTATGGTTGTGTTATTGCTTTTAAGAGTCTTGAAAGTTATGCAGAACTTAGGCTGTTTTTTGTCTTTTACAGTGTCTTAACTGCTTCTAGCCTTCCGCCTTCCCTTAGAGAAGAGCGGTAGCTCAGGTTTTTGTGTTGACTTGGTATTCAGTACTTAATGAAGGAAGAAAAGTGTTACATGACCTGACAAAACCCAACTCATTTCTTATAGGGGTTGGAGGCCATTTTGAGAATGTTATCCTTAGTTGCCTGTGCCTACTTCTAATGGCCAGAAGCCAAGAAAACCATGGTATCCGTCCTTTGTTGTAATGGCAGTTTACGACAAACTGTCAGTCACTTCAAGTTTTATCCGAAAGTTTTTAATCAGGTTCAAAGTGTGTTTTGACACACTCCTCTACTGAGTTATAAAGCAGGTAAACACATAAGAGCAAAGAATGATCTCCACCTGATGTTACTTGAATTTGAGGGAACGCCATTGCTACTACACTCCTGCTTTTGTGGGGGAAAATGTTTTTCTGCCTCAGAAGTTAACAGTTGAGTGTTTAGCTCCTGACCTACCTATAATGTATAGGCAGTACCATTGCTGTTTAAGTGATTATTTGCCTAACAAAGGGGCTTTTTTGTTTTGGTTTTGGGGTAGATTATATAGTAGACAACTTTAGTGACTAGGTATGTGGATGATGTGTTGGGAGGAGGTATACAACACTTAGTGGAATGGTATGGTATATTTTATGGAAGAGAATTCATTGGAGGGGAGATCACAGTATATTGTGAAGTGGGATTAAACACATACCCTCTGGTTTGCGCATATAACTGTAGTTTGTATAGGCAGACTTAAATTTTGTTTCTGCTACCAAAAGGAGAGCTCCTAGAACTGTTATGAAGGCCATGCCTGCCACATTGGTAAAACTGTGATTTTATCCCTGCCCCAAATCATCACGATCTTCAGGATTTCAGAGTGACTGTCTAATGGATAGGGTAGAAGCTACAGTGGAGGTGATTTGGACTATACTGAGTTCCCTGTGTAAGTGGATGTGAAATCCTGGTGTAAAACAAACATAATGCTTATTAGACAATAACCTCTAACCTCACCTCCAGCCTCCAAGTATATGGCCCTGCTGGGTCACATGGCAACTAAAGTTTCCTAGATTTGCTTTAAATTCAAGGTAGTAGCCCAGTTGAATTGGTGGGGAAGGAAGTCAAGGAGGAAAGGCTGTTGAAGAGCTTTCTCCTGCTTAAGAGAAATATATGCCCTAGAGCTGCTCCAGTACCCTTGGTACCTGAATTTTTTTATATATTGAATATGGATTAGAAGAATGAAATCAGATGACATTTGACGGCAAAAATGTTTATAAGCAAATAGCTTAGCCTTCTTACATTTTGGTATAAAGCTGTGAACTTCATAACTTTGTAAAGCAAGATATAAAGCAAATACAAGAGGAAAATAAAGTACTTTTACTAATTGTTTACTTTTGCTACCTTATCTGCTTACTAATAGCCAATCCTTTTTCCTCCATGTCAGTATAGACAGCAAGAAGGAAATTGGGTGGAAAACACAAGATGGTTATAGATATACCACAGACCACAGTCCGGATAAGTTTGGCAAACAGCTACATTTAAGGATTTGTCCAAGGTCATAAAATAGGTCAGTCATTTAGTGAAGGAGCTAGAATTAAAACTACGTCTTTGGGGTTCAAGATGGCTGAGTAGGAAGACCTTGAATTCATGTCCTCCCACAGATAACAAATTTGCAGGTATCTAAAGAATAATTTTCCTCTGCAAATGACTTGGGAACTAGATTAACAGCACCCTCCACAACAAAAGATAAGAGATGCATTGAGACGAGTAGGAGAGGCAGAGATGCGGTCTCCCTTCCACTGTCAGGAAGGGGTCCCCAAAATACAGAGCTTTTCCTTGAAGAGTGAAGGAGTATGCCCTCACTTCAGGCATCCAGACCCTTGTGTCTGGCACCAGAAAGACAAGCTCCCCAAACATCTGATTTTGGATTATTAAGTCCAGGGTAACCACAGAACCGTAGAGAACAAAGAACCTGCTCGTGAAGGGCTCACACGCCCATCCACTCATCCTGAAAACCACTGCAAAAATAATTTGAAAAGAGCCTAGACTATAACTGAGGGAGAGACCCATTTGCTAATCCTAACGTGGCTGCAGGCAAGAACCTGCAGTGACTTTCTCTGGGGACAGAAGCACTGGCTGGTTCCATTTTTGCAATCTCATTCTAACTAGCTGGTAACAGAGCTGGTGGGCACCATGTTTGGGGTCCTCCCTGTAGCCTGCTAGCACTGCTAAGCATGCTCCTTATCCCACTGAACCTATGCAAGCAGCCACACCACAACTGGGCCAAGTGAGTACATCGCATCTGGGCTGGGCATGTTCCATGTCCACCCTCCCTTTGCAACAGCTGTGCCACAACCAGATGGACTCAATAGATATGTATAGAACATTCCATTCAAGCAGGAGAATACATATTCCATGCCCATGGAACAATCTCCTGGTTAGATTAGCAGCAAAACATGTTTCAATAAATTAAATATTGAAGTCATATCAAGCATATTCTCCAACTACAATGGTATGAAACTAGAAATCAGTTACAATAAAAAAACTGGAAAAGCCACAAAAATATGGAGATTAAACATGCCACTGAACAATCAATAGGTCATTGAAATAAAGGAGATAGAAAAAAACACCTAGAGAGAAATGAAACAGAAATACGACATACCAAATCTATGGGATACAGCACAGGCCTAGTTCAAGAAAAAAATCTCAAGTAGTCTTATGTTATAGCTAAAATAACTTAAGGGAAGAAACTGGTACCTGGGTGGCTCAGTTGGTTAAGGGTCCAACTCTAGATTTTAGCTCAGGTCATGACATCAGGGTTGTGAGATTGAGCCATGCCGTCAGGCTCTGTGCTGGGTGTGGAGCCTGCTTGGGATTCTCTCTCCCCCCTCTCCCCTGACTCATGTGCATGCTCTCTCTTAAAAAAAAAGGGAGGAAGAAACGAAGCCCAAAGTAAGTAGAAGGAAGGAAACAAATACATTTACATAAAAAAGAGACTACCAAGACAGTAGAAAGATTAATAACTAAGAGCTGTTGCTTTGGTAAAACAGACAAACCTTTAGCTAGACTCACCCAAGAAAAAAAGAGGACTCAAAATCAGAAATGAAAGAGGAGATACTACGACTGATACCACAGAAATACAAAGGGTCATAAGACACTACTGTGAACAATTATATACCAACAAATTTGATGACCTGGAAAACATGGATAAATTCCTAGAAACAACCTATCAGTGCTGAATCAAGAGGAAATAGAAAATCTTTGAACAGACTGATTGCTAGTAAGGAAACTCAAATCAATAATCAAAAACCTCCCAACAAACAAAAGCCCAGGACCAGACAGCTTCACTGGTGAATTCTACCAAACATTCAAAGAAGAATTAATACTACTTCTTCTCAAATTCTTCCAAAAAACAAAACAGAAGAGAAGGGAACATTCCCAAACTCATTCTACAAGGCCATCATTACCCTAATACCAAAACAAGACAAGGATGACACTAGAAAATTACAAGCCCATATTCCTGATGAACACACATTCAGAAATCCTCAACATAGTATTAGCAAATCAAATCAATGCATTAAAAAAAAAAGGGTCATACCCACGATCAAATGGGATTTACTCCGGTGATACAAGGATGGTTCAACATCTGTAAATGAATGTAATTAACCACATTAACAAAAGAACGATAAAAACATGATCACCTCAATAGATGGAGAAAAAGTATTTGACATAATTCCAACACCCATTTACGATAAAAACTCTCAAAAGTGGTGGGTATAGAGGGAATATACCTCAACATAATAAAGGCCATATATGACAAGCCCACGGCTAACAACACGATGGGGAAAAGCTACAAGCTTTTTCTCTAAGATCAGGAACGAGACAAGGATGCCCACTCTCACCCCTCACTCAACATAGGTATTAGAAGTCCTAGGCAAGGCAATTAGGTAAGAAAAAGATATAAAAGGCATCCAGATTGGAAAGGAAGAAGTAAAACTGTCACCATTTGCAGATGACATGATATATATATAGAAAACCCCAAAGACCCCACAAATTCAGTGAAGTTGCAGGATATAAAACCAAGATATAAAAATATGTTGCATTGCTAAACACTGATAATAACTTGAACTATCAAATCCAGAAAATCCCATTTACAATTGTATCATAGAGAATAAAGTGCCTACGAATAAATACAACCAAGGAAGTAAAAGACCTATACACTGGAAACTACAAAACATTAATGAAAGAAATTGAAGAAGACACAAATAAATGGAAAGATATTCAGTGCTCATGGATTGGAAGAATTAATATTGTTACAATGCCCACACTAACCAAAGCGATCTGCAGATTTCAGTGCAATCCCTGTCAAAGCCCCAGTGACATATTTCACAGAATAGACAATCCTAAAATTTTTTAAGATTTTATTTATTTGACAGAGTGGAGAGAGGGAACACAAGCAGGGGGAGTGAGAGAGGGAGAAGCAGGCTTCCTGCTGAGCAGGGAGCCCAATGTGGGGCCAATCCTCAAATTTTTATGGAAGCACAAGAGAGCCCCAAAACCCAAAGCAATCTTAACAAAGAAGAGCCAAGCTGGTTGCTCCCTGGTTTCAAACTATTCTACCAAGCTATTGGAATCAAAACAGTATGGTACTGGCAAAAAAAAACACACCCAGATCAACGGAACAGAACTGAGAACCCAGAAATAAACCTACACCTATACAGATAATTTCTGATAAAGAAACCGAGAACATACAGTGAGAAAGGACACTCTCTTACAATACGTGGTGTTGGGAAAACTGATCAGCCATATGTAAATGAAAGAAACTAGATCATTATCTTATACCATGCACAAAAATTTATCAAAATGTATTAAAGGCTTGAATGTGAGAACTGTTCTGGAAGAAAACATAGGTGGTAAGCTCCATGACAACAGTCTTAGCATTGTTTTTGTGCTCAGACTCCAAAGGCAACAGAAATAAAAGCAAAAATAAACAAGTGGGACTTGATAAGCTAAAAGGTTTCTGCACAGCAAAGGAAACCATCATCAAAACGAAAAGGTAACCTACCAAATGGAAGAACATAATTGGAAACTATACATCTGATAAGGGGTTCATATGTAAAATAATATGAAGAACTCACACAACAACAAAAAACCCAATTAAAAAATGGAGAGAAATAGACATTTCTCCAAAGAAGACATTCAGATGGCCAGCAGGCATGTGAAAAGATACTCAACATCATTAATTATTAGGGAAATGTAAATGAAAACCCATGAATTACCACCTCACATCCGTCAGAATGGCTGTTACCAAAAAGATAAAAAGTAATAACTGTCGGTGAGGATGTAGAGGAAAGGGAACCTTTGGACACTTGGTGGGGTTATAAGTTGGCGCAGCCACTTGGAAGAACAGTATGGAGATTGTTAAGAAAATTAAGAATGACCATGTGATCCAGCTATTGAACTACAGAGTGTTTGAAGGGTACCAAAACACTAATTTGAAAAGATACCTACACTCCTGTGTTCACTGCAGCATTATTTACAATAATCAAAATAGGAAACAACCTAAGTGTCCATCAGTGGATGCGTGAATAAAGAAGCTGTGGTGTATATGTATGGCATACTACTGAGCCATAAAAAAAGAATGAAATCTTGCTATTGGCAACAACATAGGTGGACCTTGAGGGTATTAAGCAGTGAAAGAACTCAGGAGAAAAACAAATACTGTATGGTTTTGCTTGTACATGGAATCTAAAAAAACAAAACTCAGATACAGAAGACAGATCAGTGGTTACCAGAGGGGAAGAGGTTTGGGGGGGGGTAGTAGGCACAAAAGGGGGTCGATGGTAGGGTGATGGATAGCAAGCAGACTTTTGGGTGATTATAGTGTCTACAGATGTCAAATCACAGTGTTGTATACCTGACACTCCTCAAAAACAAAAACCACAACTACATCTCTGTTCCATTACACTCAGGTAACTGGCCCCTCCAGTGACAGGGCTGCTCATTTATTCTTGATGTTCTATACACCAACAGCTCTTCCCTTTCTTATCGATCTTGGAAAGTATCGGAGTGACTCCTGTGTTCAAGAAATACCAGTAGGCACGGTTACCATGGGATCCAGGTTTTGTTTGTGTGTGCATATGTGTCTCTTATTGTCTTCTGAAACTCGGGCTCTCTGCGTGACAGTTGAGTGTAACATTGGAAGCTACTCAGCCCTGCTCTGGCTGATATTTTAAATGTGAGAAGACAAAACACAAGTGAACCAGCCATACACATGCCTTTATTTAGATCAACTCTTTTTCAGAATGCAGCCAAACTTATGAGTCAGTATCCAGCCCTCTTCCACTGAGCTAGTTTATCCCAGAGGAGGCCCATCCTGAAACAATGAGAACCAAGTGCTAGTTTGGTTACCGTCCCGTGGGCGACACGAAGGTGACGGAGGACACTAACACAGGAAGTGCTGAGTGCCATTGGCAAATGCTTCTGTGAACAGCCTAGGGCAAGCTAAGGAGAGCATTTACTTCAGAGCTGAGGCTGCTCAGATCCTGAGCAAACTGCTCAGCTGGACTACAACTTGCTGAGGCAGACAGACACTTGGCTCCATGTGGCAAAAGGACAAAATTATTCTCTCTCATTTCTTAACTGAAGGGTCAGTGTGGGTGTGACAGATGGACAGATGCCCTGAGGCCGAGTGGGGAGTGAAGCAGAGGAGGAACAAGACCGATGAGGTGCCTGGAGGCTTGCTGGGGGGCCGGGCGGGGCCGCAGCTACAGTGTCCTTTGAGGTAAGTGGCTCTAGCTATACTGGATGAAATGGAAATCCTGAGTGATCTCTATGGCCTTGGATGAGGCCAGCTTGGTTCAGGCATACATGGTGAGCTGCAGCCACTGAAAGAGGAAGTCCCAAGATCAGAATGCAACCAAGAAAAGAGAGCCCAACCCTAAGGGTCTGATAGGGTGGGGGGAGAATGACAGCCCCAGCATGCCAGACCCTGGGAAGATTTTCTAAGAAGCAGTGGTTTAGGGCCTGCTTCCCCAATCTCTACTAGGAAGGTATGTTTTCCAGCAGAAAAGCCTTTTAGGATCTGAGTACCCTTTGGAGTCTTCCCCCAGAACACATTCCCTATGAAGTTGCCTTTCTATTCCTTTCCTAGGCCATCCCTCCCCCAGCATTTGGAAGTGAGGAGCACACAGTGCCTCCAGTTGCCCTCCACCTGGAATTTTAAGGTACAGGGTGAATATACTGCTTCTGTTAGGCTTTACCTCTAGAACGTTGAGTTTGATGATACCGTCTCCATCCTTGTCAAATGCATTAAAAGCTCCTGTGGGGAAGAACACACAGGCAGTTGCAGGCTCACTTCCCCTCCGCTACTGTAACTTCTCTTCAGAGGACCGTGTGCTAAGTGCTGTCCTTCAGCACAAAAATGTGCCAGGCAGAGTATGCACAGTCACCCTCCCTTTACCAGCCCATTCTGAGCTTAAAGTGGGCCTTTGCCTTTGTTCAGCTTGGAGAGAGTAGACTGGAAGATGGTCAGGCCGAGATTCCTACCGTTGCTGCCATCCGGCCCCAGGGCGTGGAAGGGCGGGCCCCCCCCCCCCCCCCGCACTTACTGAACATGCCCTCCAGCCTGACGAAGCAGCAGATGAAGCTGTCGAAGTCGATGTTCATGTGTTTGTCTGCATAGCGCATGGTAATGATGTCATAGAGCTGGCTGTTGAGGTGAAAACCTGTGGAGGGCGGCGTGGGGAAGGAGGAAGTAGGCTGAGTCCTTGCCTGCATTATGTCCTATTCCCTGCCTCTCAGCCACCCCGTGTCCCTCCTCTGTCCCCCCAACCCACCGATTCCACCAGCCCTGTCCATGTCCCCGCCCCCCACTGTCTTCCCCAGCACCTGCGTCATTGACTGCATTTCGCATCTCATAGCTGTTGATGGTACCAGATTGGTCTGTGTCATAGTGTTTGAAAATTCTCTGGCAACAGAAAATTTGCAGACAGAGGTTACACAGTAAACCCCTGAATTAGCCCCCCTCCTTCACTCGCATGCTTCCTTCCCTTCTCACCTGCCAGGCTTTAATCTTCTTCCAGAGGTGATGGAACTCTTGCAAGTTCAGCCTCCCAGAGCCATCTGTCTGGAGGAAGGAGGTCAGGGCTACAGGACACGCATAGCGAGATCCCCCTGGACCGGGAGGAGGGGGTTCTAGCGACTACAGGGAAGGTCACCTCACAAGAAGGCTCTGCCCCAGGTAGCCTCCCACTGCCCTGTCCTGGTATTTAACCCTCCCTTCCACGCCTCCGCAGTCAGAGTTCGTGTCTGCTCTAAAACCCAGGGAGCCTGTCTCCTCAGGACCATGTTGGCTTAGACCAGGCCCTAGGCAGAATCCTAGGCCTGAGGTGAGGGCAGAGGTTAGGGGCCGGTTATAGCCCAATGTCCTGCCCAACTGTGCCTCCTCCAACAGCCCCCTTCAGACCAGTAGCTCAGGACCTCAAGTCCTCCCTTAGGCACAAATTTGGGCCTCTCTTTCTGACTGGGCACCCCTTGTTGCCTTGGCCCCCGTGGGCTGCACAGGGGCTGATGACAGAGAAGTGTGGTGGGGAAGGGCAGCAGGAAGGATACATCCATGAGGGCGATCATGCTACGGCAGGACTCCAGCGTGAACCCTTGTGTCTTCAGGTCCTTATCTGGGGGGTAGGGAAAAGAGTGAGGCGCTTCTTTCAGGTACCTGGACACCCGCTCCTGCCTGCCCGTCCTCCACATACACTGTGAGCCACTCACGTTTGTTCACAACCGTGTTAAGGATATTCTTGAGCTCATCTGCACAGACCTCCATGTCCTGAGGAGGAAGGGAGTAGAGAAGAACAGTTCTAGAGGGCAGCTCCTGATGGAGCACAGCGTTTGCAAAACAAGTCCCAGCTGTCTGTGCTTGTCAAGTCTCGGTCACTGCCGTGCTGTCCTGGGAAGCCGGGGCTTTTCCAAGTAAGACACGGCGCCCTCCACGTCCAGACTGCAGTGGGCAGCTCAGGGCATAAAGGCCTCTGAGCCACCCAAGCAGATGATGGTCTAGGACCTGACTGGTGGGTTTTTTTCTGTGCCACACATACATAGCCCCTGCTTCCACCAAAAGCCTAATGACCCCTACCGAACAATAGTGAAATAACCGGTCATTTGAGCAGGAGAGGAGTCAGGGTTGGCGGTACTCACATCGCCTGCTATCTGCCTAAAAATGTTCCGGAATTGCAACTGCTCCTCACTCTCTTGGTCAGTGTTGCCAGGCTGTGGCTGTGGAAGCACAAAGGAAGACTGGTTCACAGGTAATCAGGGAGATGGGCAGACGCAGGAGGAAATTCTTTCAGGGCCGAAGGAGCCAGAGTGCCGAAACAGCCCTAGGTGGCAGCAGGAGCTGGGTACAGGACAAAGGCTTTCCTTTCTTAGTTGAGCCTAGTGAGCTGGAGTGAGAATCCTCTAGGCCCCAGTGACCCTTCAGTCCAGACATCCTAGCCAGAGAGCTTACATCAGCCATGCAGACATGTGGACAGCCCCCTTGGCCCTCTCTCCCCACCCACCAGCTAGAGCCTTCCCCACTGTTTTCAACTTGACCTTCTCAACCAGATGAGAAGGACAGAGGGGACCAGAGCATTCTGACACCTCCAGCCACCTGTGTCCACCTGTGTCTTCAAGGCTAAGTCCTCGGAGGACCCCCCCCACTCCACTGCATGGACCCTGCAGCATAGAGGACGTGGCCCTGGCTTTGTTTGTGGGCTTTGGTCCCTTAGCCTCAGCCGCACTAAGTTTCTATGCCCCCCTCTCTCCACTTGAATAGAATACCCTTCCCTGGGCTCTGCGGGCCTCCATTTCTGAGGTCCACCCCCTTTTCTGCTACTATCCTCTATCCTCTCACTGTCAAGAGCTCGAAGACGCCAGGAAACGGGCTGCTCTGCCTTGGGCTCTCTCAAGCTGGTTGTGTCTCAGGCTTTGCCTCCCGTTTCCTTCACTGTCCGGGCTGGGGGCTCCAGCGGGCAGGCTCAGCCTGTCCTTCCCAGGCCCAGGACTGGCGTGGTGTGGCTGCCAACCCCCAGGACATTCACCCAAGCAGCACCCCAAATTTTAGGAGAACTTGATGAGAGAAAAGGTCAGTGGGATACATCCAAACCTCCAGATGTTACAGGGACACCCCCCCCCCAGAGCCCTTCCAATCCAGAGGACCCCAGGGTATGCTAGCCACCCCATTCATGCCACATGCTCAAAAACCTGTGGGGCTTTCTCTTGCTTATCAGGGCTTGTTTTGTCTTTGCCCTCCTCTGATTCCTGGTCCACGCCCAGGTCCTTGTTGCTGTTTGCTCTGTCCGAAACGAAGATGATGGGCTGGAGAGAAGAGGGAAGTGGGGAAGGGGCAGGAAGGAAGCAGGGATTACAGGCTGAGCGGGCACGTGGATGCAGCCTCCCTCCTGGAGCAGCTTTGTCCAGTGAAGAGCAGAGCAGAGTTGGGAGCTCTTGAACCTCAGTCCCAGCCCCGTCCCTGCCACTAGCAAGCTGTGACTTGGGGAAAGATGCTAAGTCTTGATGGGCCTCCATTGCCGTGCCTTTCAAGCATGTTTCAAGTAAAAACATGGGTTTAGAGCAGATAGATATGGCTTCCAGTTTCCCCACTCATTAGTTGTGTGTGCTTGGGCAAGTTTCTTCACTTCTCTGAATATCTGTAAACTACAGAAACTATCTCAGTTCCTTATCTCCTGATGGTGGAGCTCTGAGGGTTAAACAAGGTCGTCAGTACACGTGAAAATGCTAAGAATGTTAAAAGCAGTGTGATTTATATTTTTCAAGTATTTTGGAGGCTTTTTTTTTTTCAAATGGAAATACTGTTCTAATTAAATTTCCCCAGAAGCCCAGTGTATATGAAGTCATTAAAAACAAGCTTCTCTGCCCGATGAAGAGGATAGAGCTTTTTTCCCTCAGCACACCCATGTCCCCCATGGTAGCTGGGAGGCACCAACAAGGAACCTCTACGACTCTGCAGAGGACAGACTGAAAAAAGGTCTCGGATTAGTGGCACGGTCAGTGGGGGAGAGGTCAGAACACGGAGCTGGAAGTCCAGTGCTGCCCTCACATACAAGCAGTATCCTCTCTGGCCTCAGGTTACTCATCCATTAATGTGGATGACAAAACCTGCTTGACCTTTCCCATAGGGCTCTTGGGTGGGGGTGCGCATGAGATACCAAGTATAAAATTGTACTGCAACATATTTCAGACTCAAGACATGCTCATGCAAGTGAAGAGGACACAAAAAGAGTAAAGAGCAGTTGCCATGCTACGTGGATCCTAGCTGGAGCCAGACGCCGCACAGGGAAAGCCAGAAGAAGGCTAAGGCATCAGGGCTTGTGGCTGCCGTGCAGAAAGCAATGGGGCAGTCAGAGTCTCTCAATGCAGAAAAGCAACCTGACTAGTTTCTGAATCTCTGTCTGCTTTTCCATGCTATTCATCTAGAACAGCACCAATGGGCAGACCTGTGGAAACAAGCTTCCAGAACTTTGGTTCCCAGCAGGCCCCAAAGGCCCTGGCTTGCCCTGCCTTTCAAGCAAAGGGTCTTGCTCAAGCAAGTGATTCTTGTGGGGATCCTAGAGCAAGTGTGGATCACAGTTGCAGGGGAAATGTGTGCCTATGGACATGGTGTGTCCATGGGTCACCCCTGCTAAGGCACACGTCTCTGGGCCTAAGTGTGGGTCCGGATAACACAGGTCTTGGAGTGTAAGGAGCGTGAACCAGATTGGTGAGGGCAAGAAACATGGGTTTAGAGCAGATAGATAATGGCTTCCAGTTTCCCCACTCATTAGTTGTGTGTCCTTGGGCAAGTTTCTTCACTTCTCTGAATATTTGTAAACTATCTATAGAAAGGGAATGATAATGGCACCTACCTTATAGATGCTGCTGTAACAGAAAGCAGTGTATGTTTTACCCCTAGCACAGTGCCTGATATATGGTAGGTGCTTGATCAATGTCAGCTCTAGTCTGCACCAGCTTCAATACTCAGAGGACCTCTATGTTGGATCTTTCCAGGAACCACCATAAACACTAACACCAAACCTTGTCTGATGGCCTATGGCTACTACCTCATGGGCTTGAGGATTCTCAAATGTCAGTCATTTCCGGATGGCACTCTGAGTGGTCAACCCAAAATTTGGAACGGGTTAGCCATCATGGTAGGCCCTGGAGACCATGGGAAGCTTATGGGGTAAACGGAACAAGGATGTAGGAGGGAGTTTGAATTGCTCAACAACTGTAATCTTGAATTCTAAAACCACACAAAGAGAACAGTGCCCCTCGTCCCAGATGAAAGCTTTACTCGGAGGCCCCCGAGTTGCTCTAAGCACACATGGTCGCCTTTAGCAATAGTGTCCTTACAGCCGAGTGGTTATAATCAGGACACGTAGGAGGAGATCTTAGAGGCCCTGGTGAATCCATAGATCACCACAACCTACCAAGACCCCAAGAGGGGAAGCTGCCCAGGTAGCTCTCATTCCCCCTTAAACCAGTCAGGTTGATGAGCTCCTCTGGGGCTGTGAGAGCTCTTCCCTCTTCCCCACTGCTAGCTGGACACAGCATGCCGAGTCTGTTGGGTCCCATGGCTTAGCGGAGCCTGCGTTTGGAACGAGAGATCACTTGTCTAGAAGGGGATTTGGAACAAGAGCGTCTCCTGGAATAAGAGCCCCGGCAATGACTTAGCCTCTCTGGGCATCCTCTTTTGCCCCAACCGCAGCAGGCCAAGAAAAAAGGAGGAGTGGGGAGCAGGCAGGGAAAAGAAAGGAGGGAGAAGGAGCAGTCCTGTCTACAGAGCAGGTGGCTGGCATCTTGAGACCACCTCCTTGGAAACCCTCACACACCTATCTCACTGTACCCTGAGAAACAGCCAGCTGCCATTCCCTCCAAGAATCAAGCCTTGCTTAGCAGAGCCAAACCCACTTCTGAGAGAAAAGGGGTGCTCCTTCTGGTTTTTGCAAGAGGCCCATTTTCACTCGTTGGCCATCCCCTCCCTCCCTCATTGGAGAGGTGGGCATGGGGGTGCCGAGCAGACTCTGGGGCCAGACTGCCCGGCTCCCAGTGCGGGCTCTGCCACTTACTGGCTCTGCAGCCTTGGACAAGTCAGTTCATCTGTCTGTACCTTGTTGTCCTCTGAAAGTGGGGATACTAACAGTACCAGTTTCACAGGGTCGTTGCGAGGATTGAGTATATCCATGCAAAGCACCTGGAAGAGTGCCTGGCACGCAGCCTTCCCTCGGCCCGTGTAACATTGGTCCACACCCAGAGCTGCACCTTGGGCCCAGGAGGGTGGCGGGGGGGCGGGCAGTGAGGGAGGAGGCAAGGCTGGTACACATGCCGTCACACACACACATGCACAAACACCCTCTGCTGTCTACCCACTCACCCTGTTACACCCACCTTGGTTTTTTTCTTTTTCTGCATAAGGAAAGGAAACAATAAATGCAGAATAAGTGAAAGTCAAGTTTCCAGAAACCCCAGTGGCTTTTGGCTTCCCTGTGACTTGGTCCTCAGCTTGCGGTGAGGTTCCGGGGTCCAGGAATCTGGCCTACATAGAACCAAAAGAGGCCTGGAGGGTGAAGGGGGGTGAGAATTTTCTGGGCCCAGAGACTGGCGGCTGCCCTGGTGGCGGCTCAGGTTTATAGTCCACTCCTATTCTGGACACCGCCGAGGAAAGGGATCTTCTGGCTAATGTTTTGTATTTTTTTTTAAATTTATTTATTTGACAGAGAGACAGCGAGAGAAGGAACACAAGCAGGGGGAATGGGGGAGGGAGAAGCAGGCTTCCCGCGGAGCAGGGAGCCCGATGCAGGGCTTGATCCCAGGACCCTGGGATCATGACCTGAGCCGAAGGCAGACGCTTAACGACTGAGCCACTGAGGCGCCAATGTTTTGTATTTTTAATGGAAGTTAGTTACTAAAACACCAAAAGAAGTGGCTCACCCAAATTGGCCTAAAAATGAATTTTGTTTGATTTACAGAGTTTTGGGTTTTGTTTTTTTTCTGTTGTTGTTTTTGCAAATATTTAACATAGGGAGAGACTTAATATGGAAATCTAGGTTTTGGGCTTTAAAAAATAAATAAAACTAGAAGGTCTGGCAGGCTGCATGCGCCTGCGACCCACTGTGGCAAAAAATGGGGAGCTGAGAGTAGCTCCTGTCGGCGCCCTCCAGATGCCACAGTCACCACCACTCCAGTTGTCCCTCCAACACTGAAGCTTAAGAGTCAGTTGAGAACTGCAGGCCATATGCCTGTGTCCAGGGACATCCAAACCCCCACACCTGCCTGCCCTGTTCAGGTGGCATGCCAGTTCCCATACTCTCCTGAGTTTGAAATTCCTGATAAATATACTACCCTGATGACTAATGTTTAAAAGATAAGAATAGAGGCGCCTGGGTGGCTCAGTGGGTTAAGCGTCTCACTTTGGCTCAGGTCGTGATCTTGGGGTCAAACCCTGCATTGGGTTCCACACTCAGCGGGGAGTCTGCTTGTCCCTCTGCCTCTGCCTCTGCCCCACCCCTTGCATGTGCTCTCTCCCTCTCTCAAATAAATAAATAAATAAAATCTTTAAAAATATATAAAATAAAAGATAAGAACAGAACCAAATGCACTTAATACTAAAACCAATGTCCCGTGATAATTCAGAAGGCACTTGGACAGGGTCAGGATTAGAACCGTGAGTGTGACTACTCAGAAGACAGTTCGGTGGGGCATTTGCTGTACTCTTATTGGCCAAAGTCACACAGCACAAGGGACTGGTTTACAAACCAGGGCCCCAAGGCCCAAGGCAGGCACAAGACTCCGTAATACAAGGAGACACCACATACTCCAACTCTGTGCTTGTAACTCTGGGATTCACATCCCTGGGAACAGGTCTTGGCATGCGACCAAGGAAAGAGCCTGAACCTGGGCTCCAGGAATCTGGATGTCAGTTCCAGCCCTGTCACTTATGAGCTCTGGGAACCCAAGGGAGCCATTTAACCCCACTGGGCCTCTCCTTCCTTACTTTAATGCCAGGGATAATAATAACCTTATTGCATCTCAGAAACCTTGCAAGGATCAAGTGAGGTAATGCACGGGAGAAGTACCTTGTAAGATATAAAGCCCGTGACTAATAACCACCGTGTGTGGGAGCCCATGCTGTGCCAGACACTTCACATACATGATCTCACCAATTCCAACGTCACAAAGCCTTGCAAGGCACCTCCTATTCCTATTTTACAGAGGAGGAAAACTGGGGGGTTATGTAACTTGTCCAAATCACCCAGCTGGTAGGTGGAGGACCCAGGTTTTGACACCGACTCCAGAGCTAGTGTGTATATTATGTATCTGAGATTGGCCCTCATAATCCAAGCTAGTTGCTGCCCTTGGTGTCCCTTCCTATGGCCTTGACCCCTCCCTCTAGCGGTTCGAAACGCTTCTCCCCTCTAGGACTCTCTTCTGCACGTCCTAGCCCCTGGGCTATGTGGCCCCAGCGCCATGAGGCCTGTTAGTCTAGTCATGGCAAAGAAAAATTGCAAGAATGTGGAAGAATGGCTCTGCACGCCCCCAGACGCCCATCTTCCTCTGCCAGTACCCTCTCTCCCCTCCACCACCCTTCTCTCCCCTGCCTGGATTAGGGAAGGTGACCCTCGGGACCTTTTCACACATCAGAACCAAACCACTCACCACTGGCCGATCCACGGAGATTGTATTTTCAACTTCCCTGTGAGAAACACAAACGTCGGGGCGGGGGGTGTCTCAGTGTCACCAGGAGCAAGCAGGAAGCACAGAGAGGATTTGCTCAGGTCACGCAGCTTCTCAGAGCCAGATCGGGACTGACCTCAAAGGAACCCCAGGACCTAATTCTCCCACCGCAGGAACCAGCCCCAT